CAAGAGAGCCAATAATAAATATATATCTGGTAGAGTATAGAGCTATTAAAAAAACTTAAACAGGGTAAGGGAGCTGAAGAGTAATAGGATGATTTTTATATAGGTTGATAAGAGAAAGTGTAATGATAAAGTAACATTTGAGAGACATGAATAAAATGAGGGAGAAAGTCGTGCAGATACTTGGGGTTAGGGGAGAAGAGTGTTCCAGGAAGAGGGAACAGCATATGCAAAGGCCCTGAGGGAAAGTATGCACAGCTTGTTCAAGGAGCAATAAGAAAACCAGAGACACTAGAACTGAGTGGGCACAGGGAAAGTGAAGGGAATGAGATAAGAGAGTTCACCAAGGTCCAGATCTTTCAGAAGGTAGGAAGTTATGTTAAGGATTTTAGATTTTATTTTGAAGGACATAAGAAATTATTGGAGGATTTTTAGCAGGGGAGCAACATGTTACTAAAATTTTAATAGAATTTTCCTGGTTGCTGGATACAGAAAATGTTAAAGGAGAACAAGTGAGAAAACAGGAAGACAAGCTAAGAAAAACAACAAAAAATAATAGTGGCTAGACAAAGGTGGAAGAGATACGGGTGGAGAGAAAGGTTAGATTCTAGATGTATTTTGAAGGTCAAACCACTAGGATTTGCTGAAAGATTCAATGCAAGATATCATTCTAGCAAGAACCTATCTTCAGATTTTTTAATATTTGAGAAAAATAAATCCATATTGTTTTAAGTCACTTTGTTTTTGTTTTGTAGAGACAGGGTTTTGCTGTGTTGCCCAGGCTGGAGTGCAGTAGCACAATCATAGCTCACTGCAAACTCCTGGGCTCAAGTGATCCTACTGCCTCAGCCTCCTGCATAGCTAGGACTACAGGTACATGCTAATTTTTTCTATTTTTTTTTGTAGAGATGGGACCTTGATAAGTTGTCAAGCCACTTTTAATGTGGTCTTCTCTTACTTGCAGCTGAAAATATTCCTAATACAATTGGAAACAAAACTAATTTCTTCATGTGTCCCTTTTTTCCCCCAGTTTTATGAGTTCAAAGCGAATGACTAGAGTCTGGATCAGTAAAAACTCTTAGACAAATGCTTATCTGTAAGATTTACTTAATTATTAAACTTCATTAAAATACATTAGAATAAAAAGAAAATTAAAGTTCAGAGAGCTAAAAAGATTTGACAAAAGTCACACAGCCCATTCATGAGTATTGAGATTACAACTCAATTTATAATCTGAGTTGAGATTATAATAATAATACAAAATGATAATACAAAATAGCCTTAGCTATTTTCCCATTATAGTTGGAAGTGGCTGAGCCAATTCCACACAGGCCAACACTTCCTTCCTAGGGTGCTTGTCAGGCTTTTCGTGGCAAGCTGGGAGTCCAGCATGGGTGGGCTGACTGCATTTCACAAGGGGGTGCTCTGCCTCATTGGTTCTCAGAAAGCAAAGATAAAAGAGAAGAGGGTTGACTTGCTTACTGGGATTTGTCATGGAGAATTGCACGGGAGAAAACAGAAACCTGGACCACAATGGGAAAGATAACGTAAAGCAAGCATTTCTCTTAGGTGAAAACAATCAATGTAACTAATCTCCTTGTTCTGGTGAAAAACATGGTGAGTTAGTTGCAAGACAAAACAAGTCTGGCATACACTAAATGATTTTTCAAAAAGGCACCTTTTGAAAGCTCCAGACAGTTTCATTAGAGCAGTGTTGTCCAACAGAAATATAATTCTAGCTATATATAATTTTTAAAATATTTTAATAAGCATATTAAAACAATTTTAAAAAAACAGGTAAAATTAAAGCAGTATATATTATCTAAACCAATAATTAAAATATTATTTCACATGTGGCATTAGCCACATTTCAAGTGTTTAGTAGCACTTGTGGCTAATGGCTACCATGTTGGACAGTGCCTCTTTAGAATATCAAAAATAAAAAAAAATTTAAAGAAAAAAATTCTGTGAGGAGACAACAAAGTATTTTTAAGAACTCACTAATTATTTTACCTGTTTTGATGTGTTTCAACCAAAACGCAAACCATTTCTAAGTTATTAACATCTATAATAATATTTGAGAAAAAAATCCAGGACTTGGCAACAGAAGGGAAAATGGGGATAATGATACTCATCAAGATTGATGTAAGAATTCAATGAAATGATATTTATGTTTTAAGAAACATAGAGTGCTGCATGAATATGCCTTCTTTATTATATGCCTTCTTATTACTTCTTTATTAGAATATTAGTCCTCAGTTAGATAAACACTTCAGATATTTGTAGGTGATTCTTTTCCCCAAGTATGTTTATGTTCTTTGTTTTTAAGGCCATTATACATGTGGACACACTGACCAGGAATACATTTAAATATCCAGAAATATTCAACTTGACAAATACTTGTGACATTGTCTCCCAACATTCAAGAAATACCTGCACTGGCACACACGGAAAATCTAGAGTTTTAGACTGTCGCTATAAATGTGTGGGAAGAGGGAAGGATTGATGACTTTTCAAGTCTTTTCTGATTAAAAATATGATTTAGAGACACTGTATTCTAAAAGATATAAGTACAGGTAAATAAATAAACATGTTTTCTTCTCAGTAATGTCTGAGATTTCTGAATTTCTCCATAATAACATTTAGCAGGAAAAATACAACCTCATCCCTGCCTGTGCAGAGTAGGTCCCAGCAATCTGTCAGCTTTTCACAGCATAGTAACCCACTGATCACTGCCTCAGCCCTTTGATAAATACTGCAGGCCGTGTGCGTGTGCATTTACAGAACTTCACAGGTTTCCATGGATACGTGAATTTTAGTGCTAAAGCACATTACTATTGCTTTTCTTGTCACCAAGAGTCCTGTAAACACTTGTGCCTTAAGATTTTGTATAGAAATTTAGCATTTTATAGAAGACAAACCAGAATTACCTTTTTCCAAATGCACTGTAAGATTTTCCATCAGGGCAAAGTCCCTGAAATCATTTATATTCGTAGCTTCTTCATAGTGATGCATTTTTATTTATTAGACCAATAAAAGACCATAAAGCCTTAACTGCATTGTAAGTATCACTTTTTAAGTGACAGATATGTACATTATTTAAATGTTACAATTAATAAACATGACAACTTGCTCTGAATTTAAAATGGAAAGAAGCAAATAGGAAAAACAGAATTAGGAACATTATATATGTATTTAGTCATTTCTCTTCCTAAATATGGTGAAATTTAAGTGTAATTCTCAAGGATATTTTTGTGGCATATATATTGACCAATTGTAGCCTGAATTTACTCTTTCTTATACATATTAAGCTATTAATTTATATTTAAAAGAACTTTTCAGAAGTCTATGAAGATGGCAAGCTATGTTATTATATTTCTCGTTTCACGCACATATAAGCTGAAACTCAGAAAGTTTAAGAAACATGCACCTTGTTGTATAGCTAGCAAATGGTAGCCCTGGGATTAGAACCCAAGGCTCCTGACTCACTGTCCAGGACTTTTCCACTTTTCCCTGGGCAGAAGGCAGGCAACTTCTTCTATAAAAGACATACCCATGTCCTTCCTTCCTCGCCGTATGCTAATAAATATCTATGCCTCTGATCTAGGCTCCATTAAATCATTCTTTTTTCCATTCATCCCTTGACTATCCCACAGACTTGGCTTAGCCTAATTTAACAAGCTTAGTCATTTCAATTGAAAATAATGATAAGGAAGCAGCAGTCACAGAAGTATCACCTAGTCTGAATGTGGACTACATGAGGAATCTGTAAGGAAACAGATTTGTAGTTCCAATCATATTGACCAAAAATGTACTACTAAGTAGATTTATGAGAGTCTTGAGCAATTTGTATAAAAAAATCTAATCTGCATAGAGATGTAGCCTAGACATTCAAGTCCAGAAAAAGCTTCTACTTTAACAGCATAGCTTTTAGGGCATGAGATTGGAACTAATTGAATGACTGTCTCAACTCTCACATAGCCAACAATCTCTGTATTATCTCAGCAAATATCTCAGTTAAGGCCACAAAATCTTGACAAAGACTGTTTTCACACTAGGTCTTATTCACCTTGTATTTGTTCAGATCTTTATTTTTGTGGTTTTTTAAATCTAAAAAAGGCTTTGCATTTGCTGTCTAATAGAAAAGGGAATCTGAGCAGAGCTCTGACCTCAGTTCCACACCAGGAGACCCTGAGCATGGACAGCTCCACATCATAGGCCTCACAGCAACTTCCAGGAACTGATTAGCCACAGGTTTGTTGTGAAGATCAAATGAGACAACAGATATGAAAATGCTTGCTAATTGTAAAATATGCACAAAAATATATAGGGTTGTTTTGAGACCTCTGTCTAATATTACACAATGCCAATTGATTTCCATTTCCATGTGTTATATGGCAAGTAATGCCTTTTGTTACCTCACAGGGCCTTTTCTAGAATGTATACTTTATTCATTTTACAACAAATATAACTAAACCATCTCCATTATGGTTATTTCAGTATGTTTCAACCCTTGCAACTCAACTAGGCTGCAACAGAGAGCACCATCCATATAATGCTTCACTTATAATAGCCAAAATAACAGGAACTAGTTATTTGGTTGTAATCTAACATCTAGTTGAAGCCCTTGAGATCCTAGGATTACAGCTCTAGATTCAGACAAACTTTGCTTACTACTGCCTGAGGACAATTCCTCATTCTTTCTAAATGGAAATTTTAATTCTGCATTGCTCATCCATAGAGTGCTACCACGTGATCAGCTATCTCTCCAATCTATAGAAATGAAGGGAGAACTTAGGGCTGTCCTAAACTACAAAGCTTTCTCTGTTTCTCCTATAAATTCCCTTCAGGCATTGAATTGAATTTGCGCTTAACCAAATTCATTTTATCTATACTTGGCAGGAATCTAGAAGTAAAATTACAAGATTTATTTCATTTTAATTCTATTATGAAGCATTTAATCACAAATACCCCCAAAATGAAAAGATAATTTATCATCTTACCTTGACTGAGCAACTCTCCTCAGTTCACATTCATGAATCCATAATGCAGGGAGGAGACTGGATGATTAAGTGTCTGATTAGAGAAAACAGATTAACCCGGCAAACATAATAAATTTAGCTCATAAGCAGGATGGCTTTATAAATGTTCACAATAACTCTCCTGTATAAAATCATGAACCATTTCCTTCAGTGATGACTCAATTGAAATAGTTGAAAAACATAAAACAAATGCACGTTTATGGCTTCTCTTTGAGACATTAAACAGGTCTAGAAAGGCATATCTGATTCAGTTTATAACTCTAAAATATATTAAATAGGGAACGTGTAAGAAAAATATTAAAGCATAAAAAAGCAAAGCTACAACCTCTCAAATGTTCTAGTTTCGACTTTGCCAATAATTAATTACATCTAGATTCCAAATGCTTTCAATGTTTTTCAATGTACATTTCCAAAGGAGCCAAATCTAGATCTGAAGATTCAGATCATGCAGATCCACCCTTAACCTTCATAAAAGAACCTGATTCCTTTATAAAAACAGGTGCGTATTTAGGTAGTTCCTGTCCCATTGCGACAAAACATAATATTAGAGAGCTATTTTAGCCTTCGAATCAGTGGGGAAAAATTCTTTTAGCAGAGATTCCACTTACATCAGAGTAAAAATCTAGGTTAGGACTAGGTTGAAGAAAAGTCCCAGGCAATGCTCCAAAAAGTTCACTTAACAGTCTGCCAAGCCTTCCTTACTTAGATGGTTAGTATTCCTGGCGTCTATTTTTTAGCAGTGAGAAAAAGGATACTCACCATGGTCCAACTTTACTTTTAAATTCACATGGCTGTATTCCTCCAGGCCTCCACTGGGTTAGTTGGCCTGAAAGAGACCCCTAGTTAGGCCCTTCTCTGTCATACACACTCAAGTCACTGCTGCATGAGGGACCTGCTCTGTTTATAAGAGCAGGGCAAGGCAAGTGCTGAGGGGAAGGGGCTGCCCAAGAGAGAGGCTTGTCTTCAATGAAGGCCCCCTCCCATCCCCAGTCTGGTAAATTTCCCACTGGGGGATGCAGGTATCTGAAGATCAAAGGGCTGGCCTGCTCTTCCTTTTTTCCTTTTTCCGTTCTCCTTTTTCCCTTCTCCTCACTCTGAAGTTGATCTTGGGCTGGGGGGTACTGATAGGAAGGAGTCCAAAGGAAGCAACTACACATCAAAGCCCTTGAGCGACAAGCAGGCAGGCTCACAAGCACATAGTGTGTGTGTGTCTGTGTGTGTGTGTGTGTGTGGTGTGCGCGCACGCGCAACGTGATGTTTGAGGACCACCCTTTCCCAACCCTTTGCTGACTCAAAGACCAAGAGGCTTTCTTAGGGCTCAAGGACCAGGATCCTTTTCGCCCTGAAGGAGTTTGTGTCGAGCTAGAAGAAGGCGTACTTCTAGCGGGCGTAGTGCGTATCCATGATGGGTGTACCAAACACTTCAGGGCTTAACAAAATCGATTATCTCTATAACCGCAGCGCCTAGCTCAGCGCTGTGTACCATAAAAGTTTGAAGCAGGAATTCCCAAATGGCTGGAAGGGGTGTAATCGGTTAGCTACCGTGCTGGGGCTGCACTTTGCCGGCTGACTTCGCGTGTACGCTCGCGTGTGTGGGATGAGGAGGGCTTGGGCAGCGGGCGCTCCCCGAAGCCAGGCGGCGGCGGCGGCGGCGGCGGGTGCGGCGGCGGCGGGTGCGCGGGGACTGGAGTGTAAGGGCGCGAACGCGGACGCCCCCAGCGGCCGGGCGGAGAGGTGCTCCCGGCGGCGCGGGGCCCAGCGGGCGGCTCCCGAGAGCGGGGGCGCGGAGCGTGCGCGGCAGCGTCGGGCGCCGGGCCCAGCACGTTGGCGTCGCTGCGCGCCGGCGTCTTAGACCCGCCGAGGGGTCGCCGGAGCCTCTGTGCGCGGCGGGGCTGGGGCCGGCGTGGGCCCTGCAGGGCGGCCCCGAGTGGTGGTGGGCTGCTGCCGCGTTGGCCTCTTCCGGGTGCAGATGGAGTCGTCCCGCGGCCGCTAGCCTGAGGGTGCTGGAGGACGGCTCGGGCTTACGAGTGAGGTGTGCTGGGCGAAGGGAGGGAGGACCTCTAGGCGCCCAGGCGACCACGTTTCAACCAACTGTCAAACGGAAAAGTTCCGATGATCAGAGAACGTCTTATCTAATTCATCCAGGCCCTATTTTATTCACCAATGGGGGACTGTGTCCACATGGAGAGACTTGCTTCTCCCAGTCACACAGCTGTTCAGTGGCAGAACTGGGACTCGAAACCCAGTCTGTTTACCAAGGCCTTTTAAACCTGTCTTCTCTGAAGTGAATATGGCATTAATACAAGTAATTATTATCATATGAGATTTGGGGAACATGGATGTGGTATGCTTTTGGCATTCAGAACTATTAATAGGACTCATGGGCTGGAAAAACTCAGCCACTCATATCCTCCCTGGGCTTAGGTTCCTCATTCCTTCACTTGCTCGGCAGTTATTGGTGCCAGGCACTCTGCTAGATACTGAAGGTGTAGAGATAAGCAGGAAGCAGCCTTCCATATCGAGCCTAAGAAAATTCCCCGGACACCATAGCTGACGCAGGTGTAGGAAGTGGGATGGGCGGTCAGACGTATGAACTGTGGAATCTCAGAAAGAGACGTAGTTCTGGCTGACTGGAGGAAGACCTAGGGGAGGAGACGGCATCTCACCTGGATCTTTAAGAGTGGGCAGTTTGGGGACATTTGGAAATGGGCATTTGAGGTAGAAGTTTCAGTGTTACCAAAAAACAAAACAGAACTCTTGAGTGTGAAGAATAATGAACATTTCGGTTTGCCTAGAATGGAAGAATGAATAAGGAGGCCAAGATGATAGAGCTATAGAGGGGGCAAAATGGGGAAGTTAGTAGAAGGAAGCATGGGAAGGATTCCAAGCAGAGCATGATAGTGCTGTGACAGAGGATAGTTAACTCGGTGCAGGACCGGAATACTCAGTTGTCTGAGTGTTGGACCAAGGATCCTTGCAGCTCTGAGGGTCCGCGAATTAGCCAATCTAGGAGCACAGGACTTCATGGAAGCATCTCAGTGTAGCAGGATTATGGATGAAAAATAACATCTGGAATGGGACAAGGTCTACATTGAATTGGGAAACTGTTGGACTAGGGGTAGCCTATAATCACCTGTGGTGGTGTTTCAGACTTCTAATAGCATTCTTGGGAGTAGTTGGCAAAAAGAGCTCTTGGTATTCCTGTAGCACAGGTGGCCTCTTGGACCTGAGCAGCAGGGACATAATCAACCTGTCCCTATCTGTGCAGAGAGCATTTATTTTTTGATGCATCCCCAGGGACCAACATGGAGCTATAAAGAGAGAAGCCTGTTTTGGCAGTTGAAATGGGAAATTTCTTATAGAAAGATTACAAACTTAATATCACTCTTTATTACAAACTATTCATATAATTTTGTGTAGATGGATGAAGCATTTTTACCTTAAAGATTGTAGCAGAGAATTTTATAAATGTATCTTTAATTGGTTTTGTGTTGTCTCATACTTAACAAAGCGCTACATTACACACCTGTGCCTGAATGAAATTAGTAGATGTGATCCATATATATCAAAATACTCAGTCAGACAGGTTATAGCCATCTGCCTAAGATCTGAGTCTAGCCCCACCTGACACCTCCCTAACAGACGAGGAACAGGGATTTCCCAGCAAGGCTCCACTTCCCATTACTTGCTGGTTCTGCTTATGAATGTTTAAAAACTTGCTTTCTTATTATATGAAATATATATTTGTGTGCTTTTGCAGTTTCTCCATAGAATGGGCAGTTCAGAAGAGGGAAAAGATGAAATGTTGTTTAGCAGCAATTCCCTTGGTTAATGATGTTAATCAGTGGTATAAGGAAAGAGCATGAAGTCTAGAGTAAGAAGATAGACCTGAAATTGAATTCCAGTTTTGTCATTTACTGCCTGTGTGAATTTAGATCTGGGACTTAAGTCATCTGTGTCCCAGTTTGCTCATCTGTAAAATGATGTTCATAGTAATTAGCTCACAATTATTAACCACTCTAACAGAACATTCCATCACCACTAGAATCCCACGTGTTGCCCTTCTATAGCCAGATCCACTTCCCTCCCACCACTTCCTTCACTTTCTTAAACCCCGGAAACCATTATCTGTTCTCTGTTTTTATAATTTCATCATTTCAAGAGTGTTATACAAATGGACTCATACAGTATGTGACCTTTTGTCATTTTTTTTCACTCAGCATAATTCTCTTAAGATTCATTCAAGTTGTTACATGTATCCGTAGTTTGTTCCTTTTTATTCCTTAATAGTATTCCAGGGTATGCCTATAACACAGTTTTTTTAAACCACTCACCTGTTGAAAGTCATCTGGGTTGTTCCCAGTTTGGGGCTATGATAAATAAAGCTGCTATAAACATTCATGTGTGGGTGATTGTGTGGCTATCCGTTTCGAATTGTCATTATTCTCTAGGTTAAATGTCTAGAAGTTTAATTGCTGGATCATATAGTAGTTACAAGTTAAATTTTTAAAGAAATTGCCAGAAGGATGCTAGTCCTTTCTCAGATACATAGTCTGTAAATATTTTCTTCCATTCTGAAGCTTGACTTTTCATCTTCTTAACAGAATCTTTTGTAATGCAAAAGTTTTCCATCTTGAGGACAACCAATTTATCAATTTTTCCTGTTATGGATCATACTTTTGGTGTCATCTAACCCTTTTCTAGACCCTGAGAATTTTCTCCTATGATTTCCTCTTATATTTTATGGTTTTACATTTAAGTCTATGATCCATTTTGAAATAATTTTTGTATAAGTTATGAGACCTAAGTCAAGGTTTATTTATTTATTGCCTATAGATATCCATTTTCTTCCGCACCAGTTCTTGAAAATCTTTTGTATAATAGCATATGACCTTGGCCAGTCAAACGACCTGCTTAGTTCTGTTTCCTGTATCTTAAACATGAGGGGATGTGTCTAGGACTAGATGGATATTATTTAAACTATATTCCTAGAAGTTCTGGTGTCCCCAGTAGCAGCAGCACTGGGGAAAAGGGACAGGTGGGGCTGTCATGCGCTCTCTGACTTCAGGGAAGTGCTGCTTTTTATATTTTATATTTTTGTGGTTCTGTCTGATACATGGTTTGATAAAACATCCCTGCTGCTACAAACAATTTTGAAGACCTACGATTCTAAGTGTTCAGTGTCAGAACTCACTTTTCCCCTTAGCTATTAATCTTCAGGTTCCTCTCTTAGTTTCTTGAGAGTTTGCTCATAGGAAATATTTTCCTTGGTGTCCTATCATTTCTCTTTATAAATATGGTAGGCTTTATGAAATTAATTAACCTACATTTTATGACTTAGTTTACAAAGAATATGTCAGAAATTGAAAATTTGTTAAACATATTAAAATTTTACAGTGGAATAATCCATCTCAGAGAATTACCATGGCAGGGAGAGAGGATAAGGAACTAAAATTCCACATAAACCAGGAACTAATATTAACCTTTATGAATAGCCACTCTCTCTCATCATCCACCTATATAGCTCTTGCCAATTCGCAAACTGTTACAACAGTTTTTACCAGTTTTCAAGGGTGACTTGCAAGCCCTATATTCTTATGTCTGTCTTCAGAATGAGGAGACTGACAGTCTGAATGACACACTCTAAGCTCTAGAACTAGTAAGTATCAAGCAGAAGACTAAGAGAATAGCTAACATCATTAACACCTGGTCTAGTTATTTTCCCTCTGTATTTTATAATATAAAGGGTTCAGTGGGTATTTCCCAAAAGTTGGCATTTGCTACTGTAGCTTTTAATCTATAAAATGGGATAATAACATAATAAACTCAGATAGTTGTGGTTTTTTTTCCAACTAAATAGGGTTAATTGAGATAGTGCATTTGAAAAAAGATATTACACTACAAAGTGCTCCTTGTTCAAATGGTAGCTGTTGTTATAAGCTTTGGCTAGGTCTTGGAACTCTAGTAGGCAGCTGTGTGTGCTTGCTAATTCCTATTCATAGGAAATGTGTTTGTTTATGTGACAATATATTATCTATTTTTCCTTTTAGTACCCACGTGGTCAAATTGTGAACTGCCACATTAATAAGACTCAAACATATTTGAGAGGATGGTTAGACCTAATGGTTTCCATAAAGTTGTTTTAATAGTTATTTTTCAACAGATGGACAGCATACATTTGGCCACATTTCTGTAACAGTGTGATGATTGAAGTTTTCAACAGATGGCATATAAATACTTAGGAAAACACCCTTCCAATATTAATTGTTGTAAAAAAAAAAAAACAAAAAAAAACTTTTAGAGTGCCAGAAAAATGATAGCTTGTATTCCCCAAGCCCTTAGCCTATACTATTATAATTATAATTTAGATGATTTGGAAGTTTCCATTTCTGGCAGTAGGAGTTGTTTTATAAATGAGCATATATATCTGCATTAGAGTAAAATAATGAGGAACAACCTGTTGTCAATTAGAGATTCAATATGGATATACTAATATCATTAGATCTCCCTTTGTTTGCTGATAGATGTACATAATTTCCTCTTGCTGAGTCATTCCACTTCTATGCCATACATATAAAATATAATTTTCCATAAAAATTAACTGTCAGAAACTATGTTCTTTCTGAAAAGTATTGATTTAAAAGAAAAAAAAACTCA